CAGCGTCGAACACTATACAAGCCAGCTACTGGCTCCAGGAGGTGCCTGTGACAGCGAGGGAGTGCAGGGACCCAAGAAAGTGTAAGCTGCGGCAGCAGGCTCCCTCCCAAATGAAATCAAAATCTTTCTGCTGGGTCTCTGCTACCAAGTCAATCCTCCTGTACCTTCCTCCTGTGGCCCCTCCACCACCTCGGGGCTCCTTCGCAGCCACACAGAACAAAGTGAGCTGCTCACGACACAGGATCACAATCAGAGAGTCAGTAGTTTTTATTAAAAATAAAGGCTGAAACTAAGCCATGACATCTGTGCACTTGGACACAAACACATTAAAAATATAACTTGAGCTGTCTAAAAATGCTACTCCGAAAAAAAAATCGCTGCAGAACAGACACCAGTTAATCCCCCTGCAGCGCTCCCCCGAAAAGGTCTTCCTGACTACAGGCTTGCTAGTCACTGCTACCCAAGCACAGACAGCTAATTAAAAAGGAGAAACTGCTCTATGTTATTAGTTGCAAGATATTAATTTTACTGTTATCTTGATCTCAGGTCCTTTCAAAGTACTTTGCCAGTTTCTTTCTGTTTGTTGGGTGCTGCCATTTTCCCAGACAGCAAAGGTAATTTGGTTGTGCCATGCCCAACAAAGGCACCATTATCCTTCACCAAACCTCAGGTGCTCATGTAATGAAACTCCACTACAATATTGCTATTAAGGTGGTCAAAGGTTCTCACAGCATATTATGACAGTATACCTTACTTAAAACTCACTAATAGCTTTGGAGTAATTAAAACCATTTAGCTTCTGTTGAAAAGAGAATAAAAAAGAAGATACAATTCCTTAACCTGCTTGATTTATGACCTGAAAGATCAATGAAGTATTAGGAAAACATCAACAAGGAAACATTTTTTCTTTTGATTTGTTTCTCCCTTTTCCTCCTTACACTATCTTCTGATTCATATTTCTTACTCAACTCTTACTGTACTTTTTTCTTGTCCCTCTGTGTCCCTGCAAAATTTTTTTCCTTGGAGAGTCAGCACTTAAAGGAGAATTTCTAGTTGAGCACTAGCTAGAAAAAAAATCTGAAGGGAGGAAAAAAAAGGCCTGGCTTCAAGAGCTCAGTTCCGAACCCGTAATATTGACTTTTCTAGACAGAATCTAGTATATGAAGGGTTGTACACAAACAAACATCATTCCTTCTGCTTCCAGTGCTGCATATTTACTTACAGGATTGATACATTTTAAAACACCCAGTAATACTGAGTATTAGAAGGTAAGTTTATGTTCAAACTCTGAAAATCAATTCCAAAACCATTATAGTTTATACCATCATAAGTACTGATGAAGGCAAAGTTAATGTAACACACTAAATCGCTCCTCTAATGAGAACTTCAGTGATTTTCATACTAGGACAGAAGAGCTCTAACATAATCCCAGCTCATCCTGAACTGCAGAGGGATAGCTCCTTTGAATCAGACACATGACAGTGACGAAAAGGAAGTTCAAAAGCCCTACAGTGAGAATGATTTGATATCTTCAAAAGAAATTCCTGTTTGACTCTTGGTTGAGTGGACATTTGGGGCTTTCTAACATCTTCCAAAGGTATCTTAAATATACATCTTCCAGCATTTGAAGCATTTCACACGTGCTTGAAATAACATAGAAAAGATCTTATAAAAAATATCTGGAAGGCAGCTTTTCCTTTTCGACATCAAGGCCCAAAAAAGGCATATAGAGTACACCTGACTGCTTTTAGCCCAAATGGGTTAAAGATGAATTTGACCTAACTACTGCCTACAGTAATGATTAAAAAAAAAAAAAAGCCTTTTAATATTTTAAAAGGGAAAATATTGAACATACTTCTTAAATTCCTCAAATTTTGGGATTTTTACATTCGTGCCTCAATATCTTAAATATAGCTAGTAAAACTATAACAGATAATGTTAAGCTGCGTTATCATTTTAAAAGCATTTTTATTCATTGCTAATTTATAATCTGGTTTGAATACAGATCTGTGTAGCAGAGGCTGGTAACTATTTCCCTAATACAGCAGCTTTCTATATATCACACGATTTTGCGAGCTGGTATCTTATGAGAAATGCGGCTATTATATCTTATATATATATATTATATAAAACCCAAAGACCGAGTCAGGGGAGCCAATGTAAATTCGGGCTCAGAGAAGCAACGTTTAACCCAACTTTTAGATTTCTGTTTGTATATCAAACTGCCATGATAGATAAGGGAAGACTATACAGATAATTAAGGAGGACTTTTAGACATAAAAACACATCAGGAATATAAAGCAAAATAGTTGTTGGTCTTGTTGACGACTGCGTGGACCCTGTCACAGGTCAAACTACCAGCCAAACCTGTCATGAGCAGCAGGAAGCTACGAAGAGGAGTATGGTCTGGTTTCATTTGGCTGAGCAAACATTTCATGAATAAACAATACAGGAAGAACAGCATACAACTCAAAGTTGCGTCGATATCTGGCTGAGAGTCAGGGTTTCTAGCATTTTGGAATGCAACCCCGTATATTTGATGGGGGTGAGAAAAGGTCTATCTAGAGAGTTCTTCCACTGACAGAATGGAAACATACAGTAAGCACGCGTTGCTGGTGACACCTGCAAGGTCTGAAACCTAGAAGGTTTCACAGGCCAGCGAGTGGTGAGATCATGCCACATGGGCAGAACCACCTTCATATTACACATCAGAGAAATTTAAAAAAGGCACTCCTCCTGGACTTTGTCTAGTAGTGATCGTTCGGAAACAGACAAGACCGCCAAAAAAAAAGGAATGCTACTGTCTGAAGTACTAATATATTATTAATGTATCAATTTGGTAAAAAAGCAGTCACAAACGAATACTGGTCCTCAAATTTCAATGGGACAGAAGCAAGTTCTCTCATCCTGAAACTGTACCAATCCAGTCAGCAACTGCTCGAAGCACAAGTTTCTTCTCAATGGTCTTCTAGAATCTCTTCCACATGATCTGGCTCTTAGCCAGCCAGTGCTACTGACTCTGCCTGTATGACAGTCCCTTAACTCACATGAAGCCATGGCCTTGCTCCCACTGGTTGATATTAAAAGCAGTTTTGAGAACTTCAGAGACGGGAAGGGTCGTGTCATCCCTACTGGGTGAGTCCAACACACACTCACAAGTGAAGTTAACGTAATCTTTATGCCTGATGTTGCCTGACTAGGTGTCAGGTCTCCTTGCCTTTGACTCAGTGCCACTACAGTTAGTGCAAATGCTACGAAAAGAGAGGAAACCTGAATCTGCAATGTTGCTATCCATACTGGCAGTCGTGGGACTGTTTAATAGAGATTCTCAGCTGAAAAACCAAAGGAATTGCCCATGGTCACAGCTGCACCGCAACTGATGCCTTCTGTTGTTGCACTTTCAAAAACATCTTTTCAAGAAATACACGTTGTTTTCATGGACTGTTCCAAAAGAAGGAATTTGAACTCTGTCCTTCACCTAAACTTCAAAGGAAGGAACGGAAAACAAAACACTTTAGAGACATGTCCCTTCTTAAAGAGGAAGTACACACACTGTGCCTTGCAACCTAACAGACTCAGACTACGGCTTTTTAATAGCTTTATGGGGACTCAGAGTGGTGACTCCCCCATCCACATATCCCATCACATCAATTTCTTCAAAACTAGGGCTTATTTTGTACTGACAGAACATTAACAGTATTCAGTAATTTCTTAAAGTTAGCTATTGCAGATCTGCTTTACTAATGTGGCATGCTGTAATATAATGCCTTACATATATTTATAGCAGTAATTGAGTATATGCTACCCTTTACTTGGGTGACCAGTGCTCAAAAAAAGTTCTTTACCAGCATGCTAAATTCATGTTTGTGTCTCAACTACTTTTCACTCTGAGCTATACATTTATTCAAGCTTTCCCAGTTATGCAGTTTTCAGTCTTTTTCTGTATTATTTTTGACTGTCAGAAAAGGGATAGTCACTGGGCACACACTGACCACACTAAATCAGGAATCAGTTGTTCAGTTCTAAGTGTAATGTGACATCCTCCTTCTAAAATAGCATGAAGATTTTCTTTCATGCACATCTCAGGGCTCATTTTTTGATCCACAGCATATTTCAAGAAAAGCCTGCCTGAGGAAACAAACTAAACCAAACAACAGAGAAACTGCCACAGAAACTTACTGGAAGGCATTAAAAACTAAATAGCTTTTTAAAGAACTCTCAGGCTTCACAGTAAAACCTATTAAAATTGTCTATTCTGATTTAATTTGTAACAATTCCATTTCAGACAACTTTGCTTGGTTGTTGGTTAGGAGTTCAAAGTGAAAATGATGGTTTTCCCCCACTGCTAATACCCGTACACGTCTCCCATCTCAAACACTTAACAAATAGGCGGGGAGATGACGACCACCACTATTTGAAGTGGTGGCCAGAAGATCCAGATGAATTCAGACTCCAGGAGAAGCATGCTCCAAAACAAAAGAATCCTCATACAGAACTCTTTCAGCGGATACTGTCCTGGCAAATGAATCAACAGTGTCTAAGCACAAGAGCCTCAACCGTTATTCTTACACCATTCATACCAGAGTCTCTCGGATAAACAGATGCACCTCTAGATGCTCAATGTGAAATGGGCAACGCAAACCATTCTTTGTTTCCTCACTAGTTTTAGTGTCCAAACAGGTTTAAAGGCATAATGCAGCAGCTCTTGAGTGAAAGCAGAAATGTATGAACAGTGGAAGATTACTTTCACAGTATATTATGGAACACACACAAAGACCCTTATTCAAATGAGTTGAAGTTCTAAGTTTCATATGTGTAACGTCACTAAAGTCAATGGAGATACACATCTGAAACTGAAAGGTGAGCAAGTACTCACTAAAGACAACATTTACACCCTTGCACTTTTGAGTCTTTTGTCAACAGTAAGAGCTCACATATTGCAATACATTTTTTGTTTCTGAAAATCTAGTGACAAATAAATATATTTTACGATAACATACCTTGAAGTTGCAATTTCCACTTTCGTTCTTGCCATGGCGGCTGCTCGCTGTGCACCCTCTATTGCTCTATCCACCTTTTCTCTAGTTTTTGTGTTTCGTATTGGTATAAGTTGCTTTCTTATTCCACGAACCAAAACATTATTTTTATATTTTCCCTCTTCTTTGGTGCCATCTGGAAACATGGTACATCCATATCCATGCCTCCTGTTATTTAGCCATTCTCCTTCATATTTCATACCATTTGAGCGCTCACTAATACCAAAACCACTGCGCTTGTCATTCTTCCATTCACCCATATAGGCTTCCGTAGTGGTGGCATCAACGTGGTCTTCCACAGGGCAATAATCACAGTCACCGTCTCCAAAACTAATTGTAGAGTTGGCATCGCTAGAACTAATTCTGCTCATAGCAGCATCACTCCTGACAGAGCTCCGTTTGCTAGATATCGATGACCTAGATTCAGATTTTCTAAGTTTTATACTACCAAGAAGGGATCCTCTTCTGAACAAGCCTCCTTTTTTCTTAATGCCCATGGCTTCCGGATCACTGTGAAAATTGAGCACAAAACCTCCTCTTGTTCCAGCCGGGCTGTCTGAAGTGGCATCATGCAGAACAGTGCCGTTGCTCTGTTCACTTCGAAGTGAAGCTAGAGACGTTCGGAGGGGCGAACGGATCACAGTTGCCATGCCATAGGGTACACTCTGACGCACACCATATCCATGTCGCATCCCTCCTGTCCATTGCCCCTGGTATGTACCTTTCAGAGTAATAAGAAGAAGTTAAATTTAGGAAGCTGTAGAAGACCTAGCGCTCTGCCTCCAGTATGCTACAGGCAATACTACGTTGTCAGCTCTGAATTTGGTAAGAAGAAATGCAGAAAATCACAGCACATGACACAGCAGATAAACTACTTCTGTTACTAATTTTTCTTATAAATTATTTTTCCACTTAACAAAGCTTTCACTTCCCCAGCAGAAGTGATTTATTTTGGCAACTAAGACACAGTAGCTATAATCATAAGCATTTTTTGAATGGATCTGTCCACGGAAAAAATTTCAGGAGAAATTTCTAAACAGTACACTCTCAACATTTTTTTTAAGGCGGTCAGACATGGAGGCGGTCAGCAGAAGCAGAACCACATTATAAGCAGTCAGCTGGGGAGGGAGACAGGAATGGAGGCAAGGGAGGCACCAGGACGCTCATGGCTCTTGCCTCCAGCTGCTCACAGAAAGAGCAACTAGGAGTAGTAAATGTTCTGTTATCCTAGGTTTAAGATGACTCCAGACCTCTCCTTGTCTGGGCATATTTGACAATCCACTACATTGTCTTGTCTTCAGATGGGCCTCTGGATCCACTGTTATATACCTCCATTGTAAAATTGAATATTTTAAAGTTTTTGAATGTACTTGAATGGAAAAACAAAACCTCAGTATATCTCACTCTTTATGAACTCCTGATTAGCGACACTTTTTGGTATCCGCAGTACTGTAAACACGGCACTGCATTCTGCGTTATGTTGTGACAGAAAGATCAGAAACATAAATCCTTCAGCACTTTTTCTGCCTTTCTTTTGTTCTGCATCACGTAAGAAAGACAAGGCAGTAATAAGCAGAACATTGCACACCATTCTACCTTAAACACATTTCGTTGTTGCAATCATAACTATTTTTGTGATTTTTTTTAAACAGCAATACAGGGCAGAGCAACATGGTAATTGATACGAGAAGTCATGGATATCCATGTAACGGAGTACATGCAAAGCTGCATCTGAGCCAAACCCCAGCATTATCAGATTACTACTGCAGATAATTTTTTTCATGTATTCTCAAAAGGCACTTGCATTTTGATGAGATACATGCTCCAGTGCCTGGTCCCTGAAAGCCATCTGTACCAGATATTCCAAAGGAAGGTGCCAGGAACCCCCAACTAGCAAATACAAAATAATTTGCTTTCTAAGATCATTTCACTCTAATTTCCATGAAACTGCTTTAAGCTCCTCAAAATGAAGTCGTCCACCCAGTGCTGCTGCTTTTTTTTTTTTTAAAAAAAAGCTATTTTGATTCTGAATATTCTGACAGAGGGATGAATAAGCAATCTTTAAAAAAAATCTTTCTTTTATTTTGACCTGCTTTAATTGGAGCACCTATTGAAAACTATTCTTCAGAGAACTAAATATCAAATGTCAAATTCAGTGATCAACAAAATTTTTGTGAAAATATTTGTGAGGTACCTGCAGTTTCAAATGTAGCTCAAAGCTTCATTTGCTTTGAGATTTTATCTCCTTTGTATAAGCATACTATTTTGGTCATGTACGTGTCAATTATCTATCAATTACTGCTTTATTTTATTACCTCTTCTGCTAAGTTGTATTTCAATGTTAACATGCAATTAAATTTGCCAAGTGTGCTTTCTTTATTACATAATACTAGATAGATTCCACAACATAACTATTTTGTGTTGGTAGAAAATTCTACCAAGTGGAAGGTTTTTAACAGATGGCTGCTGACACAAACAAACAACTTTCTTAGTTTCTTTCTCATTCTCTGTATCCTGGATACCTACTGGTGCACTGGTTGTAAGAGTGATGAATCTAGAAACATGACTATTTTAAAAAACTCAGCATATGGAGAAGAACAAATAGAAACATGAGCACAAAGCACTGGTATGACCTATTCTGTAAATATTGCAAAAATACAACCACACTGTGATTTTTTTCTTTAAAAAACCAGACATTTCCCAGAAATATATTAATATTTTATGAGCATAAATGACTACATTTTGTCCATAACTATATCTAGGATCCCCCTAGTATCACAATGATAAGAATCTGGCGGCATATACTTACTGCTACATACAACAACCTAACATCCTGCACCAGTTAACTTCATTTAAAAATAATAAATCTAACTCTAATTTTGATTCTACCAAAATATTATATTAGAGCAGCAACTCATAATTATGGCTTTCCATGTGTCTATTTAAGTGTCAGACTCGAAGCAGAATCAACTTCATTCAGTATGAAGTTTTAAAAGTATACAAAAGGTCAGCCTTTTTTCTTATTAATATTTTTATTTAATAAATAAACATGGAAAGCTCAAAACCACTTAATTCACTTAGCACTTGTACTTTTCACTACTCCGTAGAAAGAAGTGGAAGTGGTTGCTGCTGCCCATAAGGGCATTAAAACAAGAACAACTGAAGTGCTGCTGTTTACTTGTCAGATTTTAATTTCTGCTGGCGAAATAAAATCAATCCTTCCAATTTCTTCTAAAGAGAAAATAGTCAATGAGAAAATGGAAGATTCATACTGAACTGGTCCTTAGAAAGTACCAAAGATATTTAGCTGGAATTTTGTGCAGTCTTGCAGGTAACAACTCTCTCTTTTATAATTACAAATCCATTAAGGGAAAGGCTTCTGATATTAGTCCTAGAAAGATGACTCATTTTCCTTGATTTTTTTCAACTTACATTTTGCAGTATTTTAATGGCATATGGAGGGCAGTGTCCAGAATGCAGATACAAGAGAGCTGTACAGTAATTTGATTGACGATACCAGACTCTATCACCTTCTTCAACAGAAGAAATTTTCGAAATTTTAAATGAGCAAGACAAGGTATGTTAATATCGCAATATAATTAAACACTACAGAATATGACGACGTGATAAAACGAGCCTTTCCCTTATACAAAGATACAACCATATGCAGTATTTACCTATCTCTCTTCATAGATATAAATATGAAAGATAATATCAACAAGCACACCTTTTCTTGTCTCACGTTACACTATAAGTGACTGTTCAAAGCAGTTGCAGTAAGGGTCAACCATTAAAATTTTAATTAACACTGTAATCGTCAAGATAATTTAAAATCATATTTGACTATAAAACAACCACATGGTTCAGCATTAATTTTCCAGAAGCTAGGCATGGTATCCTTTGTAACGGAGGAAACATTCAGCCACGACTTCTACTGACTGACTTCTACTTCATCTGGTGTTTAATTGGTTCCCCTGAAAAGGTGTTTGTATTTTGAGCCTAAGAAATACTAGAAAGTATATTTTTCTTTTGTTTCTGTTGCCAAGTTGTTGTAATGTATACTTTCAGAACCTGTCTCCTTTGACTTACATTGTGCCATCCTTCCCCAAAAAAAAAAAAAAAGGGTATATCTTACAGCCGTAAATGTCATTTGCCTGCTTGTGGCTAAAATATAAAACTATGCTGTGTGAAAAAGCTGAGAGGCCAAGGACCTAGTAACTACTCCATTTGATCTTATCCTTTACTTACATCTTCTGTGGTTGAACAAATTTGTTACTACACCACGATTTCTGCATGCTTTTCAGACTCAAATGCTAGATAAGCGTACATCCAGAAAGAAGGCTACTCGGAAATCAGTGAGCATACTGATGACCTTTGCTTAGGATGCACTTGTCACTGAACCTCTGCGGAATGACAATGCGCAACCTTACAGCAAGATGTCTGTTTTTGCTATTGTTGGCAGGACTGCAAACTGCTGACTAATTTACACACACTGAAGTTTCAAATTAGGCCTTAGTCCCTCCATAAAAAATGCTCTGGTAGGCTTGCATATTCACAGAGATTCAACAAAATCGAGGGAGTTTAAAGGAGGTACAAACATTCAGACTGTTGCAGGAAACAACCTGACAGGCCACTTGAAGGCCCAGCATAAGCACATGCAATGAACAGAGTATCATGATTTGTAATTCACAGTGATTTCCTCAGAGATTTGATTGAGTGACAATTTTAAGCATCTAAACGCAGCATGACATACATTACTCATGTCGTGCAAAATGTTGTGTGCAGAAACACTGATGAACACTGTCATTGCTTGTGTTCCTTTTCCCTCAACTCCATCTCCTACTGCCACCAATGCACTTTAAAATAACATGTGGTGGGACGAAGCAGCAAAGAGACCTGGATTTTAGTGAGTTTGAAAACAAATTGGCAATTGGCACAGTCTAAATAGTTGTTTCCCTATGCTGGTACTCTCAGGTCATAATAAAGGAAGAGCTTTCCTGCAAATATTTCATAGTATGTTGAAGACATATACATAAAACTGGTTTCCTTGTAAAAGCATTTCAGACGTTCTTCTGGTGTACAAACACAGCTACTGTTCCCAGAGCACGAAAACAAAAACCCATCTGCCAACATCTACGATGTCCTGCTTTGCTTCATTGATGAGTACTTTCATTAAAATCAATGGGACTTCACACCCTCTGTTCGTATGGACCGAAACATGTAAAAGACTGGGGCCATGGTAATGGATTTCAGTTACGAGGATGGTAAACTGTGTAAACAGTACACTCACAGCATAAACTGCATACTTCATATGCTGTTTCGGACAGATGATTTCCTGGAGGGTCTAAGTCTAAAAATTTAGAGAAATTACCTCCAGTTATCAAGACTATACTGAGATTCTTAAAATTCCACAAACAGCCTAAAGAAAAAGATAAAAGGAACTTTAGTTTGAGAAATTGACTCCTATAAAATTTACTGGAATAATAATTTACTTCTCTGGAAACAAAAATAATAATAATAATAAAAAAAAAAGATGGCCACTGCAAATTCAGCTATTCTTCAGCTTCTAACTTGTTAGTCAAAACAAATATAATAAAAAATTGAAAAGTCTATTGTGTGGTGAGAGAATTCAAATTCTGGTCTCTTTCATGGTTTTGGTTTTGTGGTTGTTTTTTTTTTTCAAATGCCCAAACACGTATCTTGGCTAACTTTGAGCA